TTAGTTTTATTATCCTTACCGAAATACTCTATTCTAAAACTCGTAGTCAGTCTGCTTTATGGGTGGAAGATTGAAGGTAATTCTTTACAGAGGTGATAATGGGCTTTTTGGCATTTGAAGGCACTTCCTGTTACTTATTTATTCATGCTATTACAGCTGGAGTCTTGTAGTAGGATTGTCCTTCTAATATTTACTATTTAGTTTTGTATTAGGTTTGATCTGGAATATTACTTTTTTTAAGACAAATAAGGATTTCAAGATTGCATTTCTTTTAACTGCTTGGTGGAGTTGCAGTTTTCCCACAGCTAATGAGTAGCACTCTCTCATGAGTGTTTCAGCAAACCTTTTTTCAAAACGGAATAGAAATTCTTCCTTAGTAGCAGCAAGAGTATGAGGTGTAATAAAGTGAGGCCTTAACTTTTTTAAGAATGGACTAATGCAGTATTTTCTTTCAGGAAGCACAAGCTTATGCAGATGATAACAGTTTATTGTTCATGGAAACATCTGCCAAAACATCTATGAACGTAAACGAAATATTTATGGCAATTGGTGAGTTGATGGCAGGGGGTGAGGGAAGAGGGAGGGGAATTTAATATAATTGTTTTCTCTAGATGCATATAACTGGAAGCATCTGAACTCAAGCTCTTTCAGTCTTTCACGTAAATTATTTTTCCTTCTGTGGCACTGATGTTTCCTCAGGCCCTTCACCTACTTTATGATGTTGAGATAAACTGAATTGAAGCATATTTGCGCTGGTTTTCTGTCAGGCACTTAGAGCTTGGATTAATTTGTAGTCGCTGAACAAGCTTAGATTAATTTGAATTCTGTCACCAAGTTTCATGCAACTATCTTTCTGTTGTGATCAGTGGTACTGCTTCAAGTTGAAGCAGAATTAAGCTGTAGTTGCTGTTACATATTTAAAAACAAAACAAAACAAAACAAAAAAACCTTTCCCATGGTGTAGCTAATCATTACAGTTTTACATGACTTTAACAAATCTAAAATATATTTTATGGTTATCACATTAGTATGAGAATGTAAGTAAAAATGTATAAATAAGTGACTTTAATGTTATGCTTTTTGCAGCAGATCTCATACTGCCTTGGGTAGGTGCAAAAGCTGTAATAATGTACTTACAAGACAATCATAATTGAAGCTGGAAACATATCAAAATAGGAGGTGACAGTGACTTGCTTTAAAGAAGTCAAGAGTATTTGTTTTAGTCTAATCAGAGTATTTGCTAAATACTGTTTTATTTTAAAGTTACTTGAATTTCAAATGCAGCAATGTAAAATGCAAAGGATGTGCCAAGAATGAGCGTATGTGTTGAAATTCAAAGTTGGAGTACAAGTGAAGGGTACTTTCTGTGGGAAAAGTGAATTTACTAATATATTTTTAGCTCTAACATTCCTTAGGAATTTCTATGAAGGTGATAACTCATAATAGAAAGTTGAAAGTACTAACAATCTTGTGAATTCCCTTGATAGATATAACATATTTCATTATTAAAAAAAAAAAAAGAGGAAGAGGACTTTTTTGGGTGGGTTTACTTGCCCTATTTAATAACCTTAATTGGAGTCACTCTATTACTAGGAGGAAACAGTGAAGTATAGTGTCAAATAACTGTATTAATCTGTTTTTCATGTTGCGCTATGGTGACATCTCTTGCTTTCAAAATAAATTGTTTTTAAAGAGCCCTTACCTTTTTCTTTGCAAACCGGTAAAGTGGAAGGTAACCTAATGCAGTTTGAACTTCCAGCAAATGCAAATAAAATTATGGCTATGGCAACATTTTGCAGCAAGTACTCTCTTTATATTAACTATAAATATTTGGGGGGAGAGGTGGGTGGTGTACAGAATTCTAAGTAGAAGATATATTTTTGTCATAAATGCTGGAGGTAGCACGGCATTTAATGATACAGAAATGGTCAATTATAGTCCTCTTTGCAGGACTACAGCTCAGCTTCAAAAATAATTCTTTTTAACATCGCAGTGCAAACTGCATCTTTAAAAGAAATGTGAAAAAATGAATCTTCAAATTCTGTTGGGATTTTGATAATTTATTATATAAACAGTAATTCTTGTCTCTAACGAAGTACACACAATAAGTCTGACAAAAAGTATATACTTAGTACCTGAGTACTTGGTCTGTAAGGTTCCTAGTCCATGTGAGTATTCTTTGGGTGAAATAGGTGAAATTTAGACTTAGCATTGCATCAAAACAAGGTCTGTGCAGCACTGAGCTTAGAATAGCCTTTTGCACAGCATGGGTTCATTTCTAAGGACCATATATATGTAAATATGGTCTTCCAAAAATGTGAGAAAAGTCAGAACTGAGAACACAGGAAAGAATGGTTGAAAGCTACAACTGCTTGTGAATTAACTGCTTTAGAGCTTGTTCAAGGCTTCCTGTTATTAAAAAATAAAAAAATAAAAATAAAAAATGCTCATTTCCAGTATCTGTGATCTCAAGCAACAGTGCTGGGAAGATGTTTGGTTTTTGGTTTTTTTTTTGTTTTTGTTTTTTTTTTTTTTTTTTTTTTGCTGATGCTGTGTATCTTCGTACTGTCTTTGCAGCTTAGTGTCATGAGAACTCTTGGGTTCTGTTAACTGAGTTAATCTTTTGGATGTGCTAGTTTTGTTATTGCTGCCTGTTCCTGTAGTTGAATTTCATTCCTTTTTTGGAAAGTCGTTCTTGAAAACGTTGGCCAGCTTATAATTCTGGAATCAAAGTACGCAGCCAGAAAGTAGAGCAGGAATGGTGGATGGGTCCTGAAAAAGTGAAGAAGACAGCCTCATGGAAGTCCTCTGAAGTAGAACTTACCTTTCTCTCTGTCAGAAAATTACTCCAAGGAGTTGCTACAAAGAAGGGTAGTGCTTGTCACCTGCATTTTTCCATGTCTGATTGAGAATTATCTTCGAGCTACAAGGGTGACAAAAGTTGGCACAGTAAATTAATGTATAAGAACTGGACGTATGTATCTTTGAGGGAGGGGAGGGAAAGAAAAGGAGGGGTTTGATCTTGTGCTGAGGGCCATTTCTTAAGTTATATGCAGTGTTTACTCTGGGTAGTTATCTGGGCAGTAGACTGACCCATTTCTGTCTGTTGTGTTCTTTCATTGTTGCTGTATACTTTCAATGTTATTAATATTACCTTCAACGTTCTTATCTTAGATTTTTCTGTGTAGATGAATTCCTGCAAGAGCTGTCACTTTGTGACAGCACAGCATGCCTAGGCAGATACTTTTTGCTGCTCAAGATACTAATGCATTTTGCTCTTAAATCTTAGCTATGATAGTTAATCATTAAGAAGTTAAGTGTCTTAACTTCTATTACCAACACACTGAATTGAATCAGACTTTATAATGATTATATTGATATGTTTATAGAGTGTAAGCTTAATGAAGTGCTGCCTGTTTGTGTACTCAGATGATCTAATCTCACTACAACGTTTAACCTCTTATTTTTCTGTCGATTTTATAGCAAAAAAATTGCCAAAGAATGAACCACAGAATACAGGAGCTAACTCTGCCAGAGGAAGAGGAGTAGACCTTACTGAACCCACACAACCACCCAAGAGTCAATGTTGCAGTAACTAAAACATCAATTGCTTTAAACTGTTCTGAATATTCTTCTGCTTCCTAACTGTTAATAACCATGGAATTGGAGTGCTTAACCTGGCCCAGTACAGCTTCCAAACAGCGAAGAGACTTACAGTAATAGTCAAGTTTATGATACAGGATTTCCTTTTGACCTAAAATTTTAACATGCATGTATCCACCGCTGTCTGTAATGTTTCAGCATTAGAGGAGTGATGGAAGCGGAGTAAACTTCCTTCAGTTAAAAGGTTTTAAAAATCGCTTTCCATTAGGGATATAGAAGACCTACTTTCCATGGACCTAATTGGCCAGTTCTCTTGCTTCAATACTGATTACTGTTACGATGAATAGAATTCGAACTTCTCATAATTCTCAATTATGCTTTAAAAGAGTTTTAGAAACAGGGTCTAAAAATTAAACTCATTCACAGTATTGACGCAACCAGTTGTTTCTGCAGGTATCTACTGTTTAGTTATACATTCCATAGTTTAATAATTTAATCCCAAATACTACTTGCATTAACAATTTAAAGAACCCTGTGCTTGCAGGAAAGTGGATTTTTAGTTGGTACACTGTATGTAAATTATATCAACCCAATTAGTTGTCTAAAGAGAATAGGATAAATCAAGTTTAACTTCATTTCTAATCTGTTCAGAAGGTACAAACCAGTACATTCTTTACAATATAGGATATTTTTTCTTTACAAACTGTAAGAGCTCTTCAAGTAAAACCACAACAAACTCGATGTCTGTGACTTTTTTCTTGGTTTTGATCATTGCTGGCCATTACAGTTTGTTTTTCTCCTGAGGAAAAAAAAATAGCGCACTAATTATTATGGACACTCAACTTGATTTTAAATTTGGATATTAATGTACTGTAAATAGGTACTCTGCATTGTAGTCTACATTTGTTTAATACTTTCTGTAATATTTAAGAGTTGCTTGAAGGTATACAGAATGTACAGTTACTTAAAGCTAACTTTTTTCCTCTCTAATCAAAGGGGGTTCTAAGTTCTTCCTTTATGGCTAGGACAGTAATAAATAACGCTCCTGTATCTGTAACATAAGTACTGCTGTCTGTCAATAATGAACTTTGCAACTTTGTTTTCCAAAGTACATTTTATTTTGACCTGTCCAGTATATTGCACTAATTCTTAGTTATTTTCATTATATGAAATCTACCAAGTGTGTCGGAAGAGATGAATTAGTCTATTTAAATGTTGAACTGATAGCAGAAACTTGTGCAGATTTTTAATTTGCAGTAATCTGGGTTTAGCAAGGCAAATGACAGTTCACCAGTGTTTAGTTTTATATTGAGGTGCTCAGGTTTGAATAAAGTGGTTAAAAAAAAAAGTCTGTGATTACTGTTTCTTACTGCGAGTTTCAGAGGTATTTATTTCATTTGAACAGTTTGAGAGAGCTCGTCTGATTTGCTATATGGGTCAGCATTTAAGGTGATTGCAAGTAACTTCATGACACAGCTAAATATACGCTTGTGCTGTGTGGAACTCCATTTGTCATATGATACCTCTTAAATGTTTAGTTAGTTGGGTAACTTATCACATCCGTTTAGAAGTACAATCAAAATAGTAATATTATCTCTTGAACCTGCATGTAATGCAGCCTTTACCAATTGTTCACTGATGTAGCTTGCTGCATTGTCATAGAGTGCCTTGGAAGTGACCCCACCTTTTCCTGCAATTTGTGATTCACAACTGGCCGGGTATGTTTTTATGTCTTCTTCAAAATGTGTAGGTGTCTTACAATCCACTGGCAATGGAGCCTTCAGCAGTTGGTGGCCAGTATAACCTACAGGCTTGGCATGTGATATCTTAGAATTTGTTTTTTCAGCCTGTTGTAGATCTGAGTCATAAATAGAGAGAGATGCTTTTGTACAATTTTGAGTCTGTTTCATGTCTTCAGACCTTACTGTCAGTTTATTTGGCAGCTGTTTGTGGATGTAACTTGGACTAGTTGCATGGATAATGTCTGTTTCTTCTGGTGCTGTGGTTTGTGAATGTGGCTGAGAACTGTTATGTAGATAAACTTTTCTGTCCTCTGACTGCTTCATTTCTTCAGAGCTGACTTGTGTGCTAGAATCAGACTGTTTTATCCCTCTTTTCTCTGGACCTATCTCATCATTACTGAAAAGTGTCAGTTCTGGGTCAGCTTGATTTTTGTGGTCATCAGTTTCCTTAGGAACATCTCCATTTTCACTTTGCAAATAGCTCATCCTAGAACATCTTGGCTTTCCGTGTGTAGTGCTGCTTTTTGAGTCAGGGAGAAAAATCTCCATACTGGAGTCCTGCATCTCTGTTCCAACTTGCTGATAATTTGTAGCCTTTGAGTCGCTTAACTCTTCTTCAGAGCGGGGTAACAAATACAGGCAGTTATACAGAGAAGCCCCGTTTTGTTGAATGCGTTCATACGTTCTCAGATAATGAGTGAATGTTGTTAGTGTTAGCGCACACACTTCGTTGTAATCCAGAACCTCCCAAAGCCCATTAGAAGCTAAAATAAGAAATTGACAGGAATCGTCAATTGGGACAGAGATGCTATGAGGTACGGGAATCACAGATCCTTTTAGTGCGGGATCTCCATGATATCCAAGACCTCTTGTAGTTCTAAGGTGACCCTCTACTAATCCATCTGGTTCATTAGAGCTGATGTTTCCACCATTCTGAAGTATGCGTTTTTTCTCCCTTACATTAGAAGTGCTGTGCTCTTCTGAGAGGCGATAACTCTTGCCGTTTTTACACAAAACAGCGTGTATGTTACCTAAAAGTAAAATTAATATCTTGTAACTGTAGCCCACTGATTATTTTCTTCTTACATTGCTGTAATATCAGTGAGTAGGGTTCTGCTGAAGACTGGGGCAGGAAAAAAAAAATCATAGTTCAATTTTTACTATTGTAGGCAGCAGTGTGTCTGTAAATTAATCCAGTTCTGTTTTACAGCAAGATCTTGTGGATTTTTTTCTCCTCCCACTACTCAGAAGACTGCTCTAAAATCTTGTTTTTCTGACTGATTGCAGCTAAACTTTTGTGGGGAATCTGTGACATTTCAAATTGGCCTAACATCTGGCAGTCTGATAGAAATGTTACAATTGAAGCTCTTAATTGAATACAGAAGGATGGTGCCAAGTACTCTACTTCTCATGTACTTCTCTAAGAGAGAGTGTGCTCTCAAAACATTGTGGCTGAATTAACCCGTCAGAAAGCAAGTTCAGACTTCTTAAAGCACTACAAAATAGCTAGTAGCTAAAAAATAATTTGGACATTATTTAAGATTTACAATTCATTAGCATTATGCCTTAAGCCTATTCTTTGGGTGAGGAACTCGAGGGAGTAGGACTCTTTGCAGTAGTCTTAGACTAATTTATTTCCTTTAGTAGAAATAAGTACTTTCTTTCAATTATATTGAAATCCAGATGGTGAGCGTGGAGGAAGTATTAAAAATCACAACATTCCAGGTGATCAGCCTTGTCGGACTTGAATGCAGGGTATAAAGGAAAGCATTTCTGAAACAAGGTGAGCAGTGTTTGAGATACCCTGTGGCTTTACTGAGAGGAGGTAATTTTTGTGTTTAGGAGAGTCTTTGCTCTTTTGGCACAAAGACAAAAAGTGATATGCTAAAGACAAATTGAGTGGGATTGTAGCTTTCCAGATACTGAGTTGTCCACAGTGCATTCTTTTCCATTTTGCATTTTCTGACTAGAGGAAGGCATGAAAATTGTTTATAGGCAATGCTTATACAGTTGTATTTGTTGGTAAGTACTGGCATTGTCTACCCTAGGGGATAGCTCCAAGTGTAATTCCCTCTGAAGGTGGATTTCTCTAGGTGATTCATAATATCAAACTGACAAATACAGATGTTTACAGAATGTAAACACCTTAAGTTATTTGCTTCTTGTTCCCTCCTCTGTAGTCTGATTTCTGCAGAAAACTAGCTGGTTGCCTAAAACTTGTCTGATTCCTCAGAGTAAGACCCCAGCTGAAAGCCTAACCAAGAGCGTAATGTAACCCATGTGCAAAAGTTTCTCTACTAGAGAATAAAATATAGATTGCTTTTGGGTGCAGGTTTGTCTGCAATCTAGAGACAGAGTGGAAGAATCAACAAAAACCAGGTGACCTATTACTGTGAGACGAAATACAGCAAGCAGTGCTGCTGTCTTCTGCTCTGCCTTTAAGAATGCAATTCTGGGAAAAAAAAATTGTTGTGAAAATCTTTTTTTTGGTGGGGGAAATTAATGTAGTAGGTTAAGTAAATGTATATTTAGAGGTTGTTCAAGTGCAAGGACTTAAGTTGTAAAAGGCTTGAAGTATCTCTGATCAACTTAATTTACAGAGCTTGAGCTTATAGTATCTGTAATTGAAGCCACCATAAAACTGGTGCTAAGCTACCAGTGTTGATAATAGTAATTGTTAAGTTCTGGTGGCTGGAAAAATGCTTGTTGAAGATAAAGCGTGGAAATAGTAACAAGTGTTGGCAGAATAGTGAGGAGGGGTGGGTAGAGCACAGTAACATCTTTCAGTGTCATTGCACGTTCAGGTTGGTTTATAGAATCCTCAGATTTGCAGAGAATTGCATATTACTATAATAATTTCTTAATCTTGGATGAGTTGGATACAGATGTGGAATATAATATTTTTGCCTCCTAAAGAAATGAAGTATCTTAAAAGATTATCCTTTTCCTTCTTATTTCTGACCTTGATTAATTGCTATCAAATTTCACAGGAAGAAATATGAAGAGGTCATAGAAGCTTTCTGAAAACACTCATTTGAGGAGGAGAAAGTACCCCTGCTGATAGAAAATTAGCGTTAGCATGCTTCCTGATAATGCTTCTTGAGAATGAGATCAAGGCATTAGTGCTGGGGACATAAATCAAGCAGAGACTGGAACGTACTTGAGACTGCAGACAGGATTTCATTTGAAACTGTTCATCAAGTAGCTTTAAAAACCAAAACCAAACCAAATAAAAAAAAAAAAAAAAAAAAAAAAAAAAAAAAAAACCTCTGCTTGTGTATTTGTGGGAAAGCATCCTCTGTCATATGTATACAAGAACTTAACTGATAACAAGTTTCCCAGTGGGTAGATGTAATGAAGAATTCTGAAGGGCTGCATGAGCTTTAGTTTGCATGAGCCTGCAGCAAATCTGGGAGGAGAGGCATTAGGAATATAACAACGTTTCTCATTGTAATTGATAATTTTCCACTTTATGGAAGGTGACCTCCATAAGGAAGAAGGACTGAATAGATTTGACAGTAGTAAATCACCGATTTCTGAAATGGACAGTTCAGATAATCCCTACAGATCACATTTTCCAGTAGCAATATGAAGTGGCACTCGAAACAAATGACTAAGAGAAGAAAATACCTTTAAACGTGTTTCTTGGACAGTAGGGATTTATCAGATCTAGAATGTTTGTATTTATCCTAAAGTGATTGACACCTTAAGCTTCTTCTTGGTTTTAAATAGTATTTTTACATGGGTCACATGAACAGAATGCTGTCCAGCCGTATGTCTCATGTTAGTAAACTTACGGCCTTAATTCAAATATATTGAGGGCTCTCATCCAATAAGCCTGATATTGTTGCCTGATGCTGTTGTCAATTACAGAGATTATTTACTGTGTTTCCTTCACATCGACAAGTTAAAGCAATTGCAGCTTTTTATCTCCAAATATTTACTGCCAGCAAACCTCGAAATTATTTTTCTTACTGGGCAGAGAGAAAAAAAATCTAGTGTGAAATGTACATACCTATGTTAGCAATGTGCAGGAGCCCAGCAACATCCTCAGTTGTCCTAGTTAATGAACTTTGCAAACTGTTTTCAAAGTGTTCAGTGTCATCCGTATTTTCACTGGGGAGTCTTTCCATCAAACAGGTTACAGCTGAACAGCCACTCCATCGAACTCTGGAAATCTCATTCCTTCCTAGCTGTAAAAGTCTGTCCATTCTCCAGAAGGCCTTGGTGTATGCTTTGTGAATCCATTCGTAAGTATTTGTCTTATGGGTCTTGTTCTCCTGTCTGTCAGAGAAAATCCTCTCTTTTTCCCTGTAGTCTTCCGTGATTGCAGTGGCAAGAGAGTCTAGAATTTGCCTTTCCTCCTTGGTCATTTTGTAGGAGGGGTCTGTTTGAGCAAGCTGGTCAAGAAATAAAAGTGGAAGCTCTGCTGCAACTGTTTCTGCAGCTGTCATGCCATGGTGCCCATCAATTAGTCCCAGAAAACATGTATCTGTCCTACTTCCATAGTTGTCCACTACAAAAAATCTGTCTTCCATGTCTCTCTGCCATATGGAATTTTTATCTTCACTAATTGATAATGCTTTTATTGATGAATTCTTTACTTCCTTGAGAGTGTTAACACTGTTTGTATTGTCATGATCACAAAACAATCTAGGAGCGTGACCATCCATAAGAAATTCAAATGAAGTGTTGATCTTCTGCCGATGTCTTTCAGAATTTTTAGGAAGCTCGGTCACTTTTGAAATTAGCTTCTGTCGCTGAGCTAAAAGTGTTTTAGCATCCACCCTTGTTTGTGAGCTGTCACAGCCCAACAAAGTTAGAGCTTTGTGGGTTTTTTTGTGATGAAAAAAACGGTGTGGATGTATTGCTTGTTGACACGCTGAGCAGAGAATTGAAATGCCTGTGGCATCTGCATTCTCAGATGCTATCATGATCTTCTCCAGATGATCTTCCTCATCTCTGCAGAGTTCATCATTGGGTGGTCTTGCTTTGTCCTGTGATTTTTCCTCCCATGTCATTCTATAAAGGAGTTCAATGTGCTATGAATTTTCACTTCAGTGTTAGATAAATACTACATCACTGTGTAATGTGTGACCTGTGTTTATAAATGAAATGATGTAAAAGGTGTAAAAACTGTTAAAACTTAGTAACACAGCTAATTCAAGAACTGAAAAATTTGGACATAGAAAGTGTGTTATGCAGTTTGTTACCTTACATCTCCTAAGGTCTCAGTCAGTTTTCTGTTTCCTCACTGTGACTTGATGCATAGCTCTGTGCCTTCATGCTGTTACTACTGCAGGTGTTAAGTGGTTTCTCATCAGGTTTTCTGTACCTAATCCTCACTTTCCAGACATGATAGTGGAGTAGGTGCATATTAAAAATTGAGAGTTAAAGATGAAAAAATACCTGCCAGTTTTGTGCGGGCCAGTAGCATTGATATCTCTTTAATCAAATCTCATTTAATCAAATCAAATTTAATCAATGCTTTAGGAGTAACTGGAAAAATAATATAAGATTGGGGTATAGACACACAAGATACATAACATTTACATAGATTATATTCTGTTGGGGTTTTCTGCTTACAAGAGTCAGACTTAGCAATGTGAACGTTCTTTTAGCGTAGAATGGACTTTGAAAGCGTCAGTTTCTGAATTAATAAAGTATAGGGAAGAGCAAAATATTACCAAGCAGCGTTTGAGCTTTTAGATCTCTGGGAAACATACTGTCTCTAGTATCTTGTCAGCTTCCTATGGTGCATTCCCTCTTCTTTGGCCACATTGAAGTTCAGCAACTTCATCCTGCTTCAAGTTTTTCAGAGCTCCATATTTAAACTTGATACAGCCACACTTAAAGTAGTTATTTGGTAACTGTTACCTCTTCCAGGACTTTATCTGGGAAGGATGCTTTTTTCTTTCTCACTCCTTCTGTTCATCATCTCTGAGTTGTAAGAATCAAGTGCCTATGAGCAGCTGAGGCAGATCAATCATAAAATTTAAGAAGGAAAATTTACTCTATAGGGAGTGATAAATGCTAAGGTATTAGCAGAGCTATTAAACCCTTTTCACACAGTTGTATTGTTGTCCTTACAGAGGTGAGCCTGCATGTGGCTACAGCTTTCAATCTACTGTGGGACCATTTCATGGTAAGTCCATCTGTCTATTGGAATTGAGCATCAGGGTGCTTCAGAAATGCTACACCACTTTAGTGGGCAGAATAAGGAGGTACACATTCAAAACGCCAGCAGAAGACAGTCTCACACAGACTTCTCTCTTTATTCTGCATAGTCTGAATTTGAACCTGGGAAGTTGTACAGGCCTGTCACTGCTGTCCTGGTAGTGATGCATTCATGTCCAAGAAAAGTTAGGGCTAATATACACAGAAAATCTGGAGAACTGCTTTCTGTCAGCCTATTAAATATGCCACATGTAAAATGAATTCATATATAAAAGCTTATTGGATCAGAGACAAGAAGTTGAAAATTTTCAATAAAATGTTGGTTTGGCTTCAGGAAGCTTAGTTGTTAACACTCACACTGTTTATATTGCTGTAGGTGGGTGTGAGTGCTAACAAATTGCTATTTCAGAGAACCAGAACGGTCCTGGTTGATGACAGTATGAATAATCAGAATAATATCTATAATAATTCACATAGAATAACAGAATATGCTGCATTTCTTCAGTTGCAGTCATTTGCTCAAATTATTAAAAGATCAGCTACCTTGTTAGATTTTTATAGAGTATATTTATGTTGTTTATGCATGCTATATATACTTCACAGTCTACAAACCTGGTAACAATAAAAAAAAGGGAAAAATTCACTTTGATCTTTTGTGAGGGGAAAAAAAGACTTGCTTATATTTTCTTCTCTCCTTGCTTTTTTCTCACCAGGAACAGATGCAGACCTAGCAAATATTTTGCTATAGGTTTAAAGGGGATAGCAGTAAGATACTGCCATTGCAACATTGGAAGCTTGAGCTCTAGTAGCCTCAGAGAGGGAAAGAGAAAACACAGCTTCCTAGCTCACTGCAATTTCCCTGTACCCATTTAGGGGGCCCAAGCCTGGCAGTGTTTAATGTTCTGAACTAAAAATAGGAGAGCAGAGGAGAAGGAAAAAAAATAGAAGAATGGGGCAGGGAAGCGTATTTTGAGATTACTTGTTTTCAAGGGTAAATATTTTCTTTACTTCTTGTGTTTCAGCTAAAAGCCTCTTGGTCAGCTCTCAAACTGGCTCCTACAGAGGTAAGCTGTCCTACTGCTCTGCCTGCCCGTCCACTGCCATATGCAAGAGAGTGGCCAAACAGGCAGAGCGCGCAGCTGGGGCCATGGGCTTGTGTGACAGAGAGCACCATCATCTCAGTAACCCTATCTCTGGCAGCGTGCTGTAGCTCTAGCACTTCTAGCTGCTTGCTGTTCACATAGCAAGGAGACTTTTTTTCCTCCAGTTTTGCTCTGCAAAGTGTTTGTTTCTTTTTTTTTCTTTAGGTAGTGAAGATGTCACTCATGGAGATTTAATGATCCAGGATCTGATTTGTGTCCAGAGGAATCCCACTTGTCCTCATCTCCTTCTGACATGTCATTCCTGTCTTCACCCAGAGCATGCTTCTTCCTGTCTTACCTTTGTCACATTCAGCAATTAACTTAGTATCTAGTTGAAAACTCCTTCCTTCATGAACTCTGTACTACTGTTAGTACTAGCTGTATGTTAGTGGCCATAGAAAACTCATGGATGCTGAGAGCTGTGCCAGGAAGGTGCCTACCTGCTTGAGGGTGACTGGAGGAGGCAAAGAAGATGTGCATGGAGGTCAGTGTTTCACTGAGCTTGTAATGATATTACCAGCTAATATGTATAAACAGGCTGCACTGTTGCCAGATCTCCCTAAACAGCTGAGTTTCTCATACCTGCATACTGAAACTGTGACAGGGACTTGGCATCACTGGGATTGTGTGAGGTCCCCGCCCAGGAGCCAGTGTGAGCAGCTGCTGCAGCTGTGGTTTTGGCTGTGCCACCTCGTGGTGCTTTGCAAACCACACCCTGTCCTGGCAGGTGCTGCCTTGCCAGCAGACCACACATTTACTTGATCTCTTTTTCTTGTGGTCTTCAGCCAAAGCAGCCACAAGCTAATATCTATCATGAAAACACTCTTGTGGCTTTACTGAATGCATATACAACCTCTTAAAAACCCTTCATTTGAAAAGACAAAGCAGCTGTGTCCTACACCTTCCTCTACTTTTAGGAGAGCTGGGCCTCCAAAACCATCTGCAGGAAGAACCATGCATCTTCTCCCAGGTGAGTCAGCCTAGGTCAGTACAGCACCTGACTTACTGTCTCCAGCAGCAACAGCATAGCTCCAAGGAAGCCCTGTTATGAAAGGTGGGAAGTGATGGAGATGAACCCAATGAGTCACTTGCTGTGCTGGGGCTTGGGAGCACTCCCAGCACTGGCCCCGATAATAGGCAAGAAAGAAGGAAGTGATTAATAATTAAAATAATTATGGAATAAATTAAGGTAATTAGCCTCCTCACTTCTTAGTGTTGTCCTAAACTGGAACTGTGGGATTCCAGCCCCACTGGTATCGTGTCAGCTTGAAACTGCTCCCTGCATTAGCTTCTCTTAGAACTGTCCTCCTGGATAGAGGCAGTTCTTCACCAAGAGGCAGGCCTTTGAAGTGGGAGTTAAATAAACTTCCTCTACCACAGGTGTAAGATACCTGTGATGGTGGTAGCTGGATTTGTTGCGGTGGGGCAGAGGTGCCAGTTTGTAACCCACCACATGCCTTCTGTAGTGATCATCTTAGAGATATAAAAGGGATTTTCTCCTTGTGGCTTTTCTGTTTAGATCAGTGTGATATCAAAGGTGCAGCTTGGAGGACTTGAGGCCACATGATTTCCCTGTCCTGCTGCCAGTTGCGGCTGTGTTAAGATACCAGGGATGGGTGATACCACCTGCTGCTGGTGTGGGGTGGTTGGGAAAAGGGTCCCAGAAAGCTGCAGAGCTCTCTCTCTCACAGGAGAGGAGCAGAGGAGCAGAGAAAAGATGTTAACAAGTGAAAAATAGGGAGGCAGAAGGAAGAGAAGGTAAAGGAGAAATAGATTATACATGCTGTGCCTGCAGGAAGCAAGGTAGAGCTTGCCACCTTGTAACAAAATGTGAGGCTGTACAGATGAGTAAGCAACATCAGCAAGTAGCTTCTGAACTTAGTTCATGTGTGCTTCATGTTGCATGGGGAAAGACTGCCTGTAGTGAGCTCAGCTGCCAGTTTTGCCCTGGTTTGGGTCTTTCAAAACTGACTGCAGCCCCAAAGAGTACATCTGGGGTAAGAAGTGAATAAAAATAGCAAAGTGCTTCTGCTCTCGCGAGAAGTTTTAGCAACACAAACAGCCATGATTGTTGCAGTGACATATTCTCCATTCTTTTTCTCTACTTTTTTCCTTGAAGAAAAAAAAAGTAATTGGGGTGTGATGTTCTCTTTAACAAAGGCCTATTGGTAAGTTTTGTAACCTGTGTTATTGAAGTTGCAAGCAAGCACCATGGAAAATTGACAAGATGCTAGATATAGTATAATGAACAAAAATGTTGTGCTGTTACTAGTTCCAGTGACTCATAAAATATTGATAGCAGTCCAGAATGCCCAGTGACCAAGAGGAGGCCAGTTCGCCCACAAGGAATGTGCTAATGAAAGAACACAATTGGATTATATACTCCGAGAAATTCACTGGAAGGGGGGAGTTCTTTCTCCATTTGCATTGAATTCATGAATAAAACTGGTGGGAGAATGAGGAGTCCCACCATGAGCAAGAAGGGAGGGAGAGGCGTGGGTTGGGCACAGGGCTCTGCTTGGGATGGGAGTTGGGGTTGGTGGGCTTGTGGAGCTGGGCCCTGGGCAGGGAGGCTCCTCGGATTGATCTGTATCAGGCTGTTTTTAGTTGAGTCATTTTATGTGGCCTTAGGTAGGCCCCAAAAGCTCTGCATGACAGTTAGGTAACAAGCAGGCATCAGCCTCGCCCTAAGTTGCATTTTAATTTTCTTCTTTTGTTGCATCAAGAATACAGCCATCTCCTTTGCTGGAATAATGTGTATGCTTTTGCATTTAAGCTTGCCTGTATTCACAGTGAGTCCAGGCAGTGGTAGCATACTCGGGATGTGATGAGGGGTGGGAGCACCAACTGTGAGCAGAGCTTTCCTGGGGCAACACCAGGCTAAAGGGAAAAGTATGGGAGTTGGTGTGGACATCACCTGGCTCCTGGCTGGCTGTGGAGCAGATGAGCAGCACTCCCAGAGTCACAAGGCTGCCTGACTGAGCTCACAAGCTGGGCAAGAGGCAGCTAGGCTCACCTGGCTGCCACTGGTGCTTACTAGGAGCTACTTCCAGACTTGGCTTCTCTTGAGAAAACCCACTGAAATGCCCCAAAGGATGGAAGCTGAAAAATGCAGCAAGGATTTTTAAGACAATGCTTTGAGTTTGATTCTAAGTGTGATTCAAGAGTTTGATTCTTTGTGTTATGTACTTACTGATTCAAAATAAGCACTGCAGTCATTCTGTTGTGCTCAGGTTGAGCTGTGTGTATGTTATAAATAGAGAATAAAGATGTGCTTGCTTGTGAATTCAATCAACAGAAAAATTCAAATGTATGAAACTGAGAATGGAATGTATAGCAGTCATATGTTAAAGCACAATTTTTTCAGCTTTTCTTGTGTAGTGTAACTTGTTAAGGCCAAATTATATTCCTGAAGCTACTGCAAGTCAGTTCAGCCTGAGTTATACCCTGTATTTCCAGCCAGCAAATGGTCTTTTCCTCATACCTTTGGCAGTTCTTGCCAAAATTTTAACTGTCCCAAGGACATAAGACAAATCCTTGGGCTTGCTTTGTTTTAAAAAACATAATAACACCAGTTAAAATGGAAACAATGATTTAATAGATGTCACAATTATATATACATATAAAATATATATCTAAAAGAGGACTTACCTATCTGCAGTTTAAGCGTGTTTTCTTTTTAAGCTGCTTCTCCATGATAGCAGGCAACACTGCATTTGTAGTGACATTGGTGTTTATAAATGTTACTATAGTAACGGTATCCGTAGCCGCAGTCTGGTAGACTAACCGTTCTGGTAGACTTGGTGCTCTGGTTATCTGGTGAGCAGAAGGCAAAAAGTAGAGATGTGGTGTAAGGCAGACGTGCTCTTGAGGCTTCAAGGAGGAGCTGTAGAATACAGAGTTTTGCCTTTATACTAATCTGCATGCAACTGCGTGCAATATGGTTTTGTGAAAGACCCTCATAAACACACCATGAAATGTTTTATTTCAGTGGAGATAAAAAAAGTTACTGGGCTTTTGAGAACCGTGAAGAGAGTAGAGTGAAAAGATTAAGGTTGTTCACCTGGGGAATGATCCTGTGAACACTTGCCTGTGCAGCTGCAGACATAAAGGGCCTAAAACGTATTGATGGAATTGCCCAGCTGTGCAAAAATAGTAAGTGTTGAGAATTGAAACGGGGAATTCAATTGTATATGGGTGTGCAAATGATAGTGGGTTGCATAAATACCATTAGCTGTGGAACGGCTCCAGCAGCTCAGTCCAGCCCGGGAGCCCGTGTCCAACAACGGCCCCCCTGGATTGTAGGAGCCAACTATAGTTTCAGAGGATCTGCTCGGTCGTCGTCACGTTTGCAGAGCGTTGTAAAGCTGAAAGTGAAACTGCGCGGTAACAGTTTCGTTTTCGAGTCCGGGGGAAAAGTGGAAACGTCGCCTACATGAAGGAACGCGAGCAGAGAGGCTGAGGAAATCGTTCTTAAATGGTTGTTATCATACAGCGGCTTTTTGTCATTCTAAGACGCGATTCGACGACTTCCATTAACAACAAAGAATTCTCAGATTTAACAGAAGCGAATTTATTTATTCTTTTTATTCCTGTTAATACTCCGCTAAGCCAGGGGCTGCGTTTCCCATCACCTCCGAGCGCAGCGGCTCCTCCACCTTAACAGTCCGTCTTAACGCAGCGGGGATGGCAGCAGCCATCTTACGGGTCGCTGTCACAGCTGCCGGGAGGACCGCGCCACCGCCGGGCTTCGCCGCAGCCTCCCGGGGCCGCTTACAGCCGGGCAAGAGATGGAACGGGGCAGGTGCAGAAATCCGGAGCTGCTTTTTTTGCAAGTGCACGTTACGCACTGGGATCCCCCTTCCTCTCGGTATTGCAGCCTGAGGTTGACACATCAAAGAGCTGCGGATCGCAGACCAGAGCCCAGCCTCGATCCCGACCTTTCAAGCCGCGGTGCCCTGCTGTGGTAGTGCCATTTGCGGTTTCTCGCGGCTCGGCCGCGATTTTACATACGTGCGACAGAGCGTAACTTCGTCGGGACTTCTGCGCGCAGAGCGCAGTGACTGTGGTGGGATCATTTGCTTAATTGTTGCTTTCAATTGAAAGGTAGTAGACAGAGGATGACCCGCTGTCAGCGCTAAAGGAGATGTTCCTGGACAATGCAGGGAATGGAGCAGAGGGTCATCTGAGTTTTACGTTTAAAAGAAACTGACAGATACGTATAGGCTGACTTGGAAATCACCTACAAACCCGCTGAAAAGCAGCCGCAAAGCGCACAGTGTGGAAAAGCACTGCTGAAGTCAAATAAACCGTGGCCCTACTAGGGGCAAAGGAGGCGCGGGGGCTCCGCTGGTGAAGCGACGATGCCTCCCCTTCCCCGGGCTCCTCAGTCCCGAGGGCCGGGCCCGCACTCGGCGCCTTCGGTCGCCGCCCGCCCCCGCGCAGCCCCGCGCTTCACGGCGGCGGGAGGCGGGCGCCGGCTCCCCCCCGCCCGGCGGGACAGGAGCCGCCCGCGGAGCGCAGGGGCCCTCCTCCCGCCCCCCACCCCCCCGGGGAGCAGCCGGCGGC